CCCTGCATTGAAACTCCTGATGACTGTCGCGAACTCATTTAAAAATCAGCTCTAGCTACCAAAATGTAAAGTATTAGTTTTATTAAAATGCAAATCAATCAACTAATCTGTCTTTCTAGTAACAGTTGAATTGCAGTATCCGTGTCAATTAAAATAGTTTCCAATTTATTCTTGGCTGGAAGGAGGGTGGTCTTCTGAATTTTAAAATGCAAGCCTCCTCTTACGGAAGATCTTAGCAGCTTTTTCATCTCTATTTTTTTTAAATCATTTTAATTAAATATATTGGACTCTAAATATTATTAGATAGCTGTTTCAAATTCCCCCCCTCCCAATCAGATAGAGTGACTAGGACAAAGGTTATCTCTTTAGGAACCATGGGTCAATGAGAGGCTCACAGAAAGTCCACTGCTCAGGCTTCTGATTTGCTATTCTATTGCACAGGACTGTATTTTACAGTGATAATTTTCAAAAGGAAGCAGAACTCTCCTTTCTCCTGATCATCTGGGTAACTGAAGACACAGTGGATATTAAACATTTCCCCAAAGTCAAGCCTAAAAACTAACTATTAGGACAGGAAAAACAGATCACTCTGTGCCAAGGGTTAATTAATCTGAGATGGAAAATGCCTCCTCCCCCGTGTGCCCATCCTAAGCTCAGCAGACACTTTTACACTGAAACCAGAGTGGGAGGCCGATCACATCCAAGGCTCAATTCCTTTGGAGCCCTGGCCAAAGGTTCTGGAGCTGTCCCCAAGCAGTGATACTCAGCCTATGCTAGAAGGTACCTGGGCACAAAACCCTACTGCTTTGTGTTGGGCTTTTTAAAACAGCATCAAAAGCCAACTTTTAAAACAATGGTGGGCTATTCACGACCACTGACCACCATGCCTGGATTCACCATCTCTCCTCAGAGTCTATGGCACCAAGAGAGACTTGGGCCAGGGACCTGGAAGTGGTCACCATTTTAGTCATGCAAGACTGTCTTCAAAGCATACTGACCAGCACAGGCCAATAAATCCCCTTATGAGGATTTAATTCCCGTTTTCTGACCTTTAAATGAGAAACAAATGAATCATAACCTCCTGCTGGATTTACACCAGAGTTAATCTCAATAAAGTGGTTTAGAAATGTTACTAATGGGAGATCCAAGATGGTGGCAGAGGCAGAGACAGCGTGGTGAGCTGCGGGAGTAGCGAACCACTTAAAGCAGGGCCATTATGGCCTTCCACAGACTTCGGCTTATTGATAAT